CTGATGTTCTCCAGATGTTTTGTATTGCAGCCTCCTGTGGAAACCCACTGGCCCCAGGGCTGGATCCTGCTCAGCCCTCCACGTTACACCCGGCAGAGGGGAGGGGGGGGGGGACTTTACATCCCTCTATCCACATCATTTATTATACTTAAAGCATAAAGCAGCCCTGAGGTGAACCAGAGAAGTGCATATTCCTGTGGCTGCCCTTCCTTCTGAACTCCTTTTTCCCAAGGAAACACCACACGAGTGGTCATCCCGTCTCCACAAGCCCATCAAGTGCTGTTAAACAGAAAGATACGGATACAACCTCTGGCTCAGGAAGTCCCGAGGCAGCAAATTGCCGGAAACTGAGAGGATATAATGTGGAAAGCATTCCCCTGCTTGGCCCTCGCCTCGCATTCCTGCGGAGCAGCTCCCCTCGGTCCCAGCCAGTGGATGGAGACCAGCAGAGATGGTCTGTGGCTCTGAGCCAGGGGGAGCTCTCACCCCACTGTGCGTGCATGCTCCTTGTCCATACTGTCCATTTTCAGTGGATTTTGTAGAACCCAGAGACCCAGCTGGTCTCACTCCCTGCCTGTGTCTTCGGTGGGTGGGGTGATGTGTTGGTGCGCTCCTAAGGGATAAGGGGGAATTTGGTTCCCCTCCTTCAGCTCTTGGCTCTGGTTTGGTCCCTGTAGTGACAGTTCTAGTGCCCCATCCCCGACAGGGACACGGGTTTGGCAGCACTGATGCAGCAGGACATCACATTCCCGTGTTCCAGCCACCGTGCAGCCGGAGCACACGGTGTCTCCGACAAACCGGTTTGACCTCCCTTTAGGAAGCTTCCTCATTTACTATTAATAGATTTTTTTACTTCTTTTCTTTCCAAAGATATCCCTCCTATGTCCTTCTTCCCCCTCATTCCTCTGTGGTCCATAGATCAGAGAGTGAGAGCAGTCCTGCCCTCTTTCCTCTACAATCTGCCTGTCGCTGGGGCCGCATCCACCTGAGCCCACTTTTCCATTTGCCACCCATCCTCTGCTCTTCCCTGTCAGTCCATCCGTGTGCTGGCACTGACTCCTGGCAGGATAAGGGCACTCATTCCTCAATGAGGGTCTTTTTCCCAGAGTGGGAGACTGCAGGCAGAGCCCGTTGTTGTTAATGGGGTGAGGGAGAGCCTGGCTGCCTGACAGGAATTCCCAACTGCTTCCTCACATCTCAGGAAACCACCTGCATCCACCAGCAAACGGTCCCTGCTCCAGCGAAGCCACTTGAAAAGTTTTCCTGACCTCAGGAAAATCCCCATGGCAATCAGCTCTCCACCCTCATGGCGCTGATCCCAGCTCCAGGCTGTGCCAAACACCCCTAACTGCCAGGGGCTGGACATTCCCAGCAGGATCAGTTCCCGCCTGTAGCTCCAGTCTTCCCCAGCTGAAGCTTCCAGCATTGCCCAGTGATATCCAGGCTGCTCATTTTTCCCTGCTACATTTTTGGCACGGTCTGGGGCAGGAGCAGGAGGATGAGGATGGACCCACACGGGTGCAGGTTGTGCCGCGCTACCTCCGAGTACCTGAAAACAGGCTCCAAAGCAATTTACTTCATGGATGTGAGCAGTGACTGCCTGGATTCCCCTTTGCTATTTGGGCTGGCAGGATCCTGTGCTGCAGCCAAGCACATCCCAGAGGGTTTTGGTTGCCACCCAGGAGCTGTACCTGCTCCGCTCGCTCAGCAGGATGTGATGCCCAGAGCGGGATCACCCTGGGTGGGTGAAAGGACCGAGGAGGGAGGTGGGACACCCTTGGGCAAGCCCTGCCAAAGCAGCGTCGTTCCTTGACTCACAAAGCCAACCATGAGTCAAAGCTCCCGGGTAATCGCTGCTGCTACGAGGAAGAGGAAGAATCTGCGCTGCTCCACCCGCCCCACAGCGGGCTGGCCAGGGGCAGAACCAAAGTGCTGCTGGCACCATGGGAGGGGGGCAGGAGAGTTCTGAGGAAGCAGAGCTGCAGCCCAAGCGTGGAGCAACACAGGTGCTACCGGCTGAGCAACACCACCACAGCAGGGATGGAGCGAGGGAGGCTCCCCACATCCCGCTGTGGAGGCGGAGGCAGGATGGGCACACTCTGACATTTATAGAATCGTAGAATTGTTAAGGTTGGAAAAGCCCTGTAAGGTCATCGAGTCCAACCATTAACCAGCAAGTGTGCATGGCTGGACATGCTCCCTCTCAGATCGGCTGGCAAGGCCACCCCAGAGACCTCGAGTGAAAGGAGGGGGAAGGGGAGGCAAGGAATGGGGGCACCGAGAAGTCAGGATGGATGAAGAAGGAGGAAAAGGGAAGAGTGAAGTGAATTTTTTCTGGTGAAGGAGCTGGAGGAGGATGCTTGGATTATGAAGGTGTCCAGGACCCGGCAGTGCTATGCCATGGGAGCTTGGACCAGAGAAGGGGATGGTCAGCAGGAGCCCACCTCTTCCTCTGCCCACCACATCTCCCACCCACAACACCTGCAGCATTGGCCTGGCCAGGCTGGTGAGGCTGAAGGTCCCCTTGACCAGCAGACACAAGATATGGGGATAGATCAGAGAATCATGGAATCACTAAGGTTGGAAAAACCCTCTAAGACCATCCAGTCCAACCGTTCCCCCAGCACTGCCAAGGCCACCACTGACCCATGTCCCCAAGTGCCACATCCACACGGCTTTTAAATCCCTCCAGAGATGGGGACTCCAACACTGCCCTGGGCAGCTGTGCCAGGGATGGATAACCCTTTCCATGAAGAAATTTTCCCAATACCCAGCCTAAACCTCCTCTGGCACAGCTTGAGGCCATTTCCTCTCCTTCTGTCCCTTGTTCCCTGGGAGCAGAGCCCGACTCCCCCCCCCCCGGCTCCCCCCTCCTGTCAGGGAGTTGCAGAGCCAGAAGGTCCCCCCTGAGCCTCCTTCTCTCCAGGCTGAGCCCCCCCAGCTCCCTCAGCCGCTCCTGCGGCTCCAGACCCTTCCCCAGCCTTGTTCCCTTCTCTGGACACGCTCCAGCCCCTAAACGTCTTTCTTGTTGTGAGGAGCTCAAAACTGAACACAGCCACCAGTTGAGGATCAGCATCTCCTTCAAGAGGGATTGATAGTACCTGCATTAAAGTGCAGGGTCACCCTGCTCACTTTTCTACTGTGACTCCTTTGGGTCCACCAGACCCACGGAGCAGTCCATGGAATTCCTTGCACAGATTGTTGTACGTCTAACTCACCACAGGGAACCCAAAACTCTGCCACCACCTGCAAGCGCAGGTGAAATACCACCAGGAAAGAGCCTGTCTCTGTCCTACAGCCATGATCTGCCAAAGGCAGCCTCAGAGGAGCAGGAGATCCCGGCAGGATGGGGGAGGTGGTGACTCAGGACTTCTGCCACCACTTCAGCCTCCACTCACTTCCATGGGATGCGCAGGTCCCACCCCTGTGATTGTCACCCCATCTGTTTTGGGGTAGCAACAGATCTGCCACGGCATTCATGGTCCAGCACCACCACAGAGGAATAGAGAGGAGAATGGAGAAGTCTTCCACCTTTTTAATGGGAGAGACCCACCTTCCCTGATCATCCCATCTCTGTAAGGTCTGGACATGCAGCCGGGCTGGATCGCAAACGCCTTCACTCATCCAGTAGGAAAAACTGGAATTCCCATACATATCACAGGGTGTTATCAGCAGGAACACGGAGAAAGTGAGCAGTGAAGTTCCCTCTGTGGGCAGGGTGGGAATCAGAGCTTGGAGACACATCCCCACACCCTCAGTGGTCTGGGTTTGGGTGCCCCCATCCCACATCCTCACACTGCCAGCCCACAGGCAGGACACTGCCCATCCAGCCCTTCCCCTTCCACCAAGGGGACTTTCTTGGCCATGTCCCCAGGCAGGCAGCAGTGCTTCCTAAAGGGAAACTGAGGCAGGGAGGGTGGTACATCACAGGAGCTGTTTTCTACAACTGGCAGCAGGTCCTGGGAATAAGGCAGAGCCCTGTGCCACCACTGAGTCCTGATGGAGACACCGTGCGTTGCCCATGTCCACAGCCCTCCGTGACTGTGAGGCCAGTTTGGGGTGGGGGTTTTTTCTCTCTTCCAAGGAAAAGGTGAATGAAAGGCTGGAAATGAGACAGTGATGTGCACTCACAGCTCAGACCCCTTGTGTCCTGAGCTGATCCCACAGCGTGGGCAGCAGAGCAGGGGGGGGGATTCTGCCCCTCTGCTCCACTCAGGTGAGACCCCCCTGCAGAGCTGCTCCAGCCCTGGGAACAACAGCACAAGGACGTGGAGCTGCTGGAAAGAGTCCAGAGGAGGTCCTGGAGATGCTGCCAGGGCTGGAGCCCCTCTGCTCTGGAGCCAGGCTGGGAGAGCTGGGGGGGTTCCCCTGGAGAAGAGAAGGCTCCAGGGAGAGCTGAGAGCCCCTTGCAGGGCCTAAAGGGGCTCCAGGAGAGCTGGAGAGGGACTGGGGACAAGGAATGGAGGGACAGTACAAGGGGGAATGGCTTCCCACTGCCAGAGGGCAGGGATAGATGGGATATTGGGAAGAAGAAATCCTTGGCTGGGAGGGTGGTAGGCCCTGGCACAGGTTGGGCAGAGAAGCTGTGGCTGCCCCTGGATCCCTGGAAGTGTCCAAGGCCAGGCTGGAAAGGGCTTGGAGCAACCTGGGCTAGTGGAAGTTGTCCCTGTCCATGGCAGGGGACTTGGAATGAGATGACCTTTAAAGATCCCTTCTCACCCAAACAATTCCATGTTTCTATCTGTGCCAAGGACAAGCTGAATGCCAGCCCAAAGCACTTCCCTTCCCCTCCGGCTCTGGCTCCGGGCTTTGCCGGGGTGCCCGGGACTGGTCAGCGTGGGAGGAACGGCAGAACTTGATCTCCCAGTGCATTTGCTTCCCAAATTCCTCCCGTCAGCTGCCGGCAGTGGGTCCCCGCGGGGCCCCGGCTCCGCAGCCTCTTCCCAAGCGCAGGACTCCCGGCTACAGGCATCTCCAGCGTGTCCAGGCAAATCCCTGCCATGCGGAGCGGGGATTCCCACAGCGGGAATAAGGCTTCACCCAGCGAAAACATCAAGCAGATCGGCTCCCTGCCTCATCTCATCGCTCAGGAATCCCGAGGTCAGGAAAGGCCGGCGAGTCCTCCCACGGCACCGCGTCAGGCCAGGAGCGAGGGATGCTCATCCCAGTGTCCCTGCTGTCACAGCGCGGGATGCTCATCCCAGTGTCCCTGCTGTCACAGCGCGGGATGCTCATCCCAATGTCACAGCGGCCGGGAGCGCGGGATGCTCGTCCCAATGTCCATGGGGTTGCGGGGTGCTCATCCCAATGTCCCTGCTGCACAGCACCCACCGCCATCCCTGTCCTGTCCCCACTGCCACCTCATGCCCCCAGTGTCATCTCCTGTCGCCATCGCCCTTGTTCCCACAGTCACCCCATGTCCCCACATCACCCCCTGTGCCCAGTGTCACCGTCCTGTCCCCGGTGCCACCTCTCGTCCCCACAGTCACCTCAAGCCCCCACTACCTCATCCCCCCGCCCCCAGTGCCACCCTCTGTGCAGCGTCACTGCATGTCCCCAATGCCTCCTCATGCCCCCGCAATCACTCTCTGCCCCGTCACTGCCCCCTATAAACTGTCCCTGTCCCATCCCGTCCCTCCGTCACCCCGTTTCATCCCCCCTTCACTTCCCCGTCTTCCCGTGTCACCCCCTCCCCTGTCAATGCCTGTCACCCCCCTCCCGTCACCTTCCCCGTTCCAAGCCGTCCCCCTGTCACCCTGTCACCTCCCCCTGTTCCCCCCCGTCCCCCTGTCACCCCCTTCCCTTGTCACCCGTGTCACCCCCTCTCTTGTCACCTCCCCCCTGTGTCACTCTGTCCCCCTGTCACCCCCTGTCCCCGGTGTCCGCCCTACCTGTGCCATCCCGTTCCCCTGTCACCCCGGTTCATCCCCCCATCCCCTCCCCCTGTCCCCCCGTGTCACCCCCTGTCACCCCCCTCCCCTGTCACCTCCCCCGTTCCACGCCGTCCCCCTGTCACCCCATCACCCCCTTCCCGTCACCCCCCTCCCTCGTCACCTCTCCCTGTCCCATCCCGTCCCGCCCTCCCCCCGTGTCACCCCCTCCCGTGTCACCTCCCCCTGTCCCCCCTTGTCCTCGGTGTCCCCCTCCCTTGTCCCCCCCCGTCACCCCCGTCCCTTGGCCCCGCCCCCGCTCTTGGCCCCGCCCCTTCCCGTGCCGTTACACCAGCCCCCCCCCCATTTGGCGCATGCGCAGCAGTCGCGGAGAAGCCGTGCCCGGCGCCGGGCGGGGCGGGGCGGCTCCATCCGGGTCCTGCCCGGGCCGGGCGGTGCGGGCGGCGCGAGCCCCGGCGGGACAGCGCGGCGGCGGGTGAGTGCGGGGGGGAGGGAGCCCCCTGGGGGGCCGGAGGACCGGGACCCCCCCGAGCGCCGCTGAGGGGGGCGGGGACCCCCCTCGGGACTCCCCTGTGGGGTGGGACCCCTCCCTGTGCCTTGTTCTGATGGGGAAAGGACCCCTCTCCATCCCCCCCTGTGGGCTGAGACCCCTCCCTGTGTCTTGTTCTGGTAGGGAAGGGCACCTCCTTTATCCCCTCTTTGGGCAGGACCCTCTCCCTGTGCACCCCTCTGGGGAGCAGGGTCGCTTCTCCATCCCCCCTGTGGGGTGGGACCTCTCCCTGTGCCGTGTTCTGTGGGGAAGGGACCCCTCTTCAGTCCCTCCGTGGGGCCGGGACCCCTCCGGTGCCTTGTTCTGTGGGGTTGGGTCCCTTCTCCGGCGCCCCTGTGGGTCCGGGATCTCTCTCTGTGCCTCGTTCTGTGGGGAAGGGCACCTTCTCCGTCCCCTCTTTGGGCAGGTCCCTCTCTCTGTGCCTTGTTCTGTGGGACGGGGCTCCTCCTCCAACCCCCCTGTGGGGCCAGGACCCCTCCCTGAGCCTTGTTCTGAGGGGAAAGGTCCCTTCTCTATGGGGTGGGACCCCTCCCCGTGCTTGTTCTGTGGGGCTGGGACCTCTCCCTATGCCTTGTTCTGTGGGAAAGGGTCCCTCCTCCATCCCCTCTTCGGGCAGGACCCCTCTCCCCGTGCCTTGTCCTGTGAGGTTGCGATGTGTCCCAGTGCCTTATTCTTGGGGAAAAGCTCCCTTCTCCATCCCCTCTATGGGATGGGACCCCCTCTGTGTCTCGTTCTGTGGGACAGGGCTCCTCCTCCATTCCCCCTGTGGGGCAGAGGCACCCCCTCCTCATCAGGGGGTCAGGCTGCCCTCCCTCTCTGACCCATGGGACAGGGACCTCCATGGGGCAATGGAGCAGCCCCCATGTCCCTACAGACCCCTAAAGGGAGACCCTCGGGGTGTCTGGGCTGTGCCTTTGGGGTGTCTGATAGCACTATAGGGGTGCCATAAGGTCCCCTTTGTGGGGCAGAGGGGACAGCAGGGACTGGGCCGTGGCCTGGGACCACATCCCCCGGGAGGGGGCTGGGGTGGCACAAAAGGACAGGGACGTGTCCCCACCCATCCTGCCTGGACCCCCTGGATGAGGGGGAGCTCCCGGGGGTCCCACCCCACGCTCTGCTCGGAGTCCCCAGGTCACCTCTGCTCCTGGTAGCAGCTGGCTGGGAATCAGACACGTCCCTTTGCTTTCCCGGGGCCGAGACAGGACGCTGCGGGTTTCTTCAGCTTTAAAAAAACAAACAAACAAACAAACGAAAAAAACCCCAACACCCAGAAATGGGAAAAGCTGCTTTTTTGGAGTTGCACGGGGGCTGCTGTTCCTGCCGTGCCGGCACGTCCGTGCCCTCCCAGCACCCGCCGCTTTCGCAGGGGACGTGCGTGGGTCGCTGGGGACTGAAAACCGACGGGTAAAAATGCACCTCCTGCGGTTTTGTGTGATATTTGTTTAGTTCAGCCTGTCTTTGTCTTAGCCGGGCTGCACGGCGGAGGGCGCACACACGGGTCTGGTCGCCCCCCGAGCGGCGCCGGCTCCGTGGGATGTGCCAGCGTGTGTGTCCGGGGGTTGTTTCCCCCCCCTTCCCGTGCACACCTTTGGCAGGAGGTTTGGATGACATCTTGCTCTGGCACGCTCCTCGCCTTTGATCTCCAGTTTCCTGCCATGGATAACGTGTTCGGCAACACGCGAGCCCGGCTCCGCAGCTGCCGGGGAGGGCGATGCGGGTGCCTCCTCGTCCCGGTTTTCTCCAGCTGACTCCTGCCTACAGCTCCCGGCTTTCCTTTGTCTCGGGTGCCGCCAGGACAGCCCAAGGATGCTCTGAACGGAGCAAAGCCGAGCACAACCCCCCCTCCCATCCCTTTGTTTCCAGGCGTTTGCGGGCTCAGCTGGTTTTACGCGGCGTTTCGTGTGCCCAGGCAGATAAACCGACTACTCAATGTCTTTTTTTTTTTTTTTGTTCTGAGTTATTTTGGGTGATTTAGTTTGCAGGGAACATATTCCAGCTGCAGGCTGTGCCGGAGGGATGCGGCAGCTTCCTAGAACGGGGTGAATTCACCAGAAGTGTAAGTGGAACATCTCGTGGTTGTCCTCTGGTGTCCTCCTCGGGTGAGCAGAGCCATAAGCTCTCAGCACCACGCTAAAATCAGGGATCACCAGCCCTTTTCCTGCAGAACTTTGACCCCGGTTTGCATGACTGGGGCTTTGGGGATGGTGAGCCCAGGGGAAGGTGAACAAAACCCAGGTCCAGGCTCAGCCCTGATGGCTGAAATCAGCCTTTATTTTTTTATCCTTGACTTGATAGAAATCAAAATACAAGTTTTAATATCATTATCATTATTTTTTAGATTCCTATTGCAGTTTCATTTCCCTCAGGTGTTGGGTGTGATAGCAAAACCATCACCTGAATTTGTTTGACTGCTTTTTTTTTTTTTATGACAGGTGTACACAAAGCACTTTGAGCGTGTCAAACAGCCCCTGAGTAAATCAGGTTGTTTGCTCTATTACTTTATTCATACAGGTTCAATGCTCCAGCTGATGCATCTGAAGTGCTGTGCCATCTGGAGCAAAAATTAAATACTAATTTGGCCCCTGGCCTGGAAAAATAACAACCCCGTGCCCTGCTAAGAGCTGGCAGTGGAAGGATAGAGCCCCTGACAGAAGAACTGCTTGGGGGCAATGTGGAAGGAGCCCAAAATGCACTAATTGAGGTATTTAAAAGATATTAAAAAAGGGAAAATAATGCTCCCAGTCCTGCGTGCCGGAAGTGGGCAGGAGGGATGATGTGATCCCGTTACCAAGTCACGGGGCTGATGCCCACAAATGACATCCTGGTCCTGAGTGGGTGGTGGAGCTGCTGGAGGTGGGTGTGGTGGTGATCTTCCTCATCTGCCAATCTTGCTGCTGAAGGAAACCCCCTCCACAGCCTCCCAGAGCTCTGCTTCACCACCTGCTCAGCTCAGGCTTGTGTATTTTTGTTCCCTGGTAAAAGTTTACACCATGGCTGTTGCATCCCAAGGATGGATTCCTTCTCCTCTCCAGCTGAGTTGGACACTCCAGGTCTGCTGGTTGGGTCGCTGGCGTTGCTGTTTGGTCAAAGGCTGTCTCAGATTTGGGAGGACAAGATGTGCATGTGGGTCAGCTGTGCTGGGACCTCTTGCTTCTGCAGCCCAGGCTCAGATCCACTCAGCTCCAGGTGTGACTGGAGACACCTGTGATGGACCAGCCGTGAAGGACACCTTGGGGTCAGCGTGCTCTGGATGTTCTGGGATCTGTCAGACCTTCAAACTGTGCCAAATGGAAATAAGAGGATGACTGCTGGTTGCCGCCACTGTTCTTGGCCAGAGGGTGGTCCTGGCCATGTCCTGGGGGCCAGGCAGTGATGGGGAGGAGGAGAAGGAGAAGGATTCCACAGCAAGGAAGTGGCAGAGCTGCTCCAGACTGAAACGGAACCAAGCCTGGAGATTCCACCCAAGAAGGACTGACTTCCAGCTGCTCTCCTGGCAGTGTGTGGATGTGTGGGATGATAGGACACCTGGCTTTGCTAAGAGGGCTTTTGTGCTTATGGACCATCTCTCCAGGTGTTTCCCCTTGGGTCACCCCTCTCAGCGACCTGCTGTCACCTTCACTTTGGCTGTGTGGCAGAAGATGTGTTGTGAGTGATTCACTCATAGCCATAAAACACCACGTGGATGTGGAAGGGGTGGAGAGAGGCACGGCTGGTGTTCATCTCCTCCACTCCCACCATCACCACCTGGAACCTTCTGCCTTGGGATGACATGGCTGAGACAAGGTCCTCTCCCACTGGATCAGACTCCTGCTGCACAGTAAACCCAAGCAACTCCACCCCTCGGGCCATGGCAGGAGGTGCAGATCCTTTTGGTGGTCCTCAGCCACCCTGGAACATCGGTGTGGAAGCCTGGAGGGCGTTTCTTTGGGCCTGGAAGCTCTCCTGGTCTCAGCGGTGGTTGGTGTGGCCGATCTGGGTTTGTTTATTTTTGTTTCCTGCAATCATTCCTCCAAGGGTTTGTTGACACAAGATAAGATCTATGGGCACAGACCAAACCTCCCCTGTCCCTGTTACCCTGGAATTGCTCAGAGTTGGGCTGGGAGTGGCCATCCTGCCCATGTCCCCACCCCAACTCGCTGACAGGGCTCTGAAGTGGCATCACTGATGACGTGATATGGGGCTTATCTGCAAGTGAGCCCAGTCATCGCCTGAGCCTGGCAGGTGCCCTGGCTTGGGTGAGAAACACCAGTGATCCCATGGAAAACGCGCTCCAGGAGAAGATCCAAACCCATGTGGCTTCACCACGGCCATGGGTGGTGGTGGTTTCCTTCCCGACTTGAGGAATGGGAAAGCCTCGGCATCTCCGTGGGCAGCGTATTGTTCCTCCGTGCCGGGACGCAGCAGTACCCACCGGGGATGGAGCTGCATTGGTTTTGGATGCCTTTCCCTGCTGGAGCAATAACACGGGCCATCCAAAGTGCTGTTTTTCTGCCTGTCTGGTTTAAATTCCGCCAAAGAGCAAAACCAAACCTAAACAGTTCCAGCCACACGTGGAGGGCTCCCGTGTCCTGCTCACAAACGGATGCAGTGCCAGAGGGATGGCAAGGGGAGACAAGAGCCTGGCCTGCCCTCGGTGCTGCAAGAGAAGTAAAAAGCCCCAGTGGCAATGCATGGATGGGCAGCAGGAGCTCATGGACCAAATTAGCTGCAACCAGCTGCCTCAGTGTAGCCAAAAGCTGACAGGTCTCGGGTTGCTCCGATGCTGGAGCTAAAGCTGGATCAGCCTGCGGAAAAAGCGGGCGAGATGCTGAGAATCAGGAGGAGGAGCAAGGGCTGGGCTGTGGGAAGCCCAGGCAGGGAAGTCCTGCTTTTTTTGCTCCAGCTCTGGGACTGTGAATGTGAGAAGCAAGTAGGAATGGCTTCTCCAGGTTTATTTTGGCTTTTTTTTGCTGTGTGTGAGTTTACATGACACCAGGGCTGCTGGCAACAGGTAGGATACCCCTGGCTCCGAGGGGGAAAAGGATCTTTGTGCTGGATAATCCTATTTGAGGGATAGTGTATTAGCCAGGTCCTTTGGTCTCCCTTCTCCGTGGAAGGGGTAGATGGAGATCCATGTGCAGCACAGACACAAGGGTCATCAATGTATTGGAAAACATGGAAGCGACCGAGAATGGTCTTATAGGAATTAGGACTTCTTCCCCAAAAAGGTGTTGGGATTGATAACCCAGCTGAAGTGCAACAGCACCAGTGCCCACAGCGTGGGCACCAACGGGAGGAGCTGGAAGCCACTGGGCATCAGGAAAGCTGTGACACAGTTGCTGTCACAGAGACATGTGGGATTGACTCATACCACTGGATTGCTGCAATGGATGGGGATAGACTTTCCATTATTTACCAGCAGCCCTGGCTAACTGGGGAGGTCCCAGCTGACTGGAAGTGAGTAGATGTGACACTCTGCCACAGGAAGGGCTCTAAGGAGGGTTTGGGGAACTACAGGGCTGTCAGTCCGGTGACAAGAGCAGATCACCCTGAGCCATCACGTACAGGACGACCAGGGGATCAGGCACAGCAAGCCTGGGTTTGGCACAGGCAGGTCCTGCCTGACCAACCTGATCTTCTATGACAAGGTGACCTGCTTGGTGGATGAGGGAGAGGCTGTGTAGGTGTGTCTACCTGGACTTTGGTAAAGCCTTTGACGCCACTGCTTCGTGGAAAGGGGTGTCCAGCCCTGGCATAGGCTGTCCAGGCCAGTGGTGAAGTCACCATCCCTGGAGGGGTTTAAAACCCGTGTGGACGTGACACTTGGGGACGTGGTTTAGTGGTGGCCTTAGCAGTGCTGGGTTAGCAGTTGGACTCGATGGCCTTAGAGGGCTTTTCCAAGCTAAACGATTCCATGATTCTGTGATTTTATTATCCCCTCGGAGGATTAATCTTGCCGCTAATGCAGCTTTTCACTTGCAAAGCGCCTTAGGAGGAAACGGTGCCAGGAGAGCGTTTGGAGAGAGAAACCGAAAGTGCTGAGCAGGAGGCAGCTGCCCTCCCGGTTCCAGCCGTGCCGCTATCGCTCTCTCTGCCTGTGGAATAACAGTGGTTTTCCCAGCTTCTTGGCTCATAGGAGTATTTCAGGGAAAATATAAGAGCTCCGTGGCCGTGCAGCTTCCCAGGACTGGGACCGGGGGGTTTCAGCTCTCCAGTCGGTCCGTTTGAATCCAGGAAGAGCAGCCTGGCAGGTAAGAAAGTGGGAGAAGCCGAATGCCCCATCCGAACTGGGTGGGAGGGAACGGAGTGTCCCACCTGACAACTTCCAACCCCAACAAATCCGCCCGACCGTCCTGCCTCCCTCCGACCGGGCTCTCGGAATTAAATCGCCGGCGTATCGTAAGGATCAAATTAAACTTCTCTGCACGCAGAGCTTTGTCTCGAGCAGGCAAATATTTCCGCGGCGCTTTAACGACTCTCGTTTTCCTATTGTTCCCTATAAAAACCCGTCGCCAGGCTGGGCTTCCCCCGGGGCGATTTCCTGGCTCAGTTCTAAACACAGCTGCCGGCTCGGGGTTTTTCTTTCGCTTTTCAGCTGAGAAGTGCCGGATTAAGACCCGACATCTTTCTCTCTTGGCGTGTGAGATAAAAGGCGATGCTTTTGGAGGCTGTGACAGTGGTGGCCATCCAAAGTGGGATGGGACTGTGCGACGTTGGGTGGTTTTGTGGCTGAATAAATCGGGATGAGCTGGAGCCCAACTGCTGGGAGCTCTCGTGGTTGGATGTCTGTCAGTTGAGCCCTTCACCCCGGTCTCGCTTGGCGTTCACACCAAAACACCCTCACCATTGTGCTGAGCGTTGTTTGGGGGCGGCACTTTGGCAGTAAAAGCAGGAAAAATGGATCATTTCCTCGTCTGCTGCTTTGCCTGGGGGTGCTGAGTTGTCATGTGCTTCTGACGGCTCTTGGGGCTTCTTCCTCTTTGTATCCTCCTCTTCTTCCTCCCGTCTCCAGCAGCCTCTTCCCCATGCAGCTGCCATCGATGCAGCAGGAGCAACGAGTCAGGGAGGTGATGGGAAAGGGCTGGGATGATTTGCAGCCAGGTGAGGGGGATGGAGCTGGAGACAAGCCTGGCATCAGGTGGTTTGTTCCAGCCTTGGATGCTAAAGCTGTGAGCAGGAATGTTGCAAGGAGTTAGGAATTGGGCTTCACAGGTATGGTGAGTATTTCCCCAAAGCCAAGCGGGTATTGTCTGTGCCTGAGGACTAAAAATGCTATGGTACTCCATAAAAATGGGCTGGAGAAGAGAGATTCTGCTGCTGTCCCATGAGGCACCTCCAAAAGGAGTGTTTTTAAGACAAGGTGATGAGTCCTGGTTTACACTGAGGTTGGAACTTGAATCTCTTAAAGTTTCTTTTTTGGATGGAATTTTAAAGAGGAAAGAAGGAAGCACTAACAGAAGTTTAGTTTCTTTCTTAGAAAACATCTGTTTTGTAACAGGAGTGGCTTTTCCTCACCAGGATCCCCTGAATCCTTTCTGCCTCCTTTAGATTTGATTTATCTCTGCTATTGATGTTCTAAATCAGAACATCCAACTTCGGAGCAAACCGTGCTTGGTCTCAAAACCCAGGTTGCATGTTGCCCACTTCATCTTCTAAATCAATTAATTTATTCTTCAGTATTATAAATTATTCATTTTGAGGGTAGCATTTGATCCCAGACTATTTCCACGAGGATGCTGTGTTATATTTTCCCACCTTATCAACCTGAGTCCTTTCTGCAAAGCCATGCAGATGGATGCTGCTGCCAGGCTGGGCACAACTTAGATTTTGTGTGAAATACCCAATTTGCTGCTCAGAATTTTGCCCTCTTTTTTTCTTATCATTAAAATAATGTTTTCCTAAGCCAGTGCAGAACAAGTCAGGAGTTTGAGATGGATTTTTTTTTTAAGCTGGAGCATCATTCCCATAAGATTGGACCTCAAAGATGGGTCATGATGTCCTGGCAGGTTGTTTGTTGGGATGGGATCCTTCCCTTAGGCTACTCTGGATGGGCTGACCAGGCTTGCCTTGGCTGCCCACATCACTCCAGACAACCCTCAGTGACGCTGTGCTGGAAATTCCCCTCTTCCACCCCAAAACCAGCCCCGATTTCTCTGCAAGGCCTCGCTGTGTGGCAGCCGTCTCTGCGGGCTGCTCCCTGCTTTTGTTTACATCTGGTAGAAAACTTCTTAAATTTCCTGGCAAGGGAGTAATTCTAATCCCTTTCAATGAGATCAACGGATTAGTGTCTCAGATGCTTATAAAATTGTGAGGATTAGCCGAGCCTCCCCCCGTTTTCTTTCTATGCCACGTAACATCATCGCCGCGTTTCAGGAGGGGGATCTCGGTGCTTGTTACCAGGAGCTGAACCAATTTCTAGGAGCCTCTGCGAATCAAAACGCTTAAACCCCGATGTCTTCATCCTCTCCCTCGCTCCCTCTGGATTTTTGTGCAATATTAGGGTGTTTTTCTCTTTTCTTCCAGCATCCCTGGCACCGAACCCCGGTAGCCGCTCGGCAGATACGTTGGGTTTGCGTGGCTTGGCTGCGTTGCGGCGCCCGTGCGGGTAAGTTGGGAGCTGAGCCCGAAGTTTTCCTTGGTAGAGACTTGCAAAATCACATCTTGAGAGGATCAGGTGCCCAAAACGATGTTCTTTCATGAGGTTGCCCCTCATTTCAAAGGATTCAGGTTTTTGTGGTCCATCCCCAGAGGGGAACGGCGCTTCTGGGCCGACGGGATGTTCTCACCTCGGCTTTTGGGAGCGATGGGAGCGGGATGAAACTCCCCACACCCACATTCTTGCATCCTCTTAATTACAACCTGTGCTTTCATTAGGAGTGATCCCTAACCAGCTGGAAAGGAGGGAGGGTTTGGTTCAAACCCTGTTGCTCCGTGCCTTTTCCCGCAGGGTGTTTTTTCAACGCCGTCTCTCCCGGGTCGGTGGCTGCGCGGTCGCTTGACCTGTGTGAGCAAAGTGATCCCGGGCTGCCGAGTGGTGGGAGCTCCGAGCCAGGAATTCCTGGCCCTGGCCCAGTATAGTTTCAGAGGCGAGCTTTTAAATATACACAAAGACAAGCTCATAATTTCCACTCTACTAATGAGGCCACGGCGCTTTCATTGAAATGTGCCAATAGCTGCCGTGGTGGTATTTTAGCAGCCTTGTACTGTGAATCCAAATGTGATTTAACATGGCAGCCCCCACAGAGCAGAGGAAAACTGGCTTCTCCCGCTGAATTTCAATGATGCTGCTTGGCAGTGCTTCCTGAAAATCCCCTTGGTGGTGGGACCTTTCCATGTGTTTCATCTCAACATGGCTTTTCCCCTTGGTGAAGATGGGCAAGGGTAGGGAAGAGGTATAATGATATTTTAGAAAGGTAAAGTCTTTAAGACTGGGTTTAAAAGATGTGTGGCTGGTTAGTGCAAGGCAGTGATTTAATAACCTGGCTGGCAGGAAATATCATTAAATCACAGTAAAAAACTGAACGTGAGGGCTCCCAGACATCATGTTCTCTCTTGACCTTTAAAAAGCCACTTGAAGCCGCCAGCCTGCTCGTTGCTAAACCCCCTCCTTAGTGCCACTCATATATTTTCCCTTCTAGGAGGCGATTCAGTGCCTGGGAATTTGTAGAGATATGACACTAAACTCTTACACACCAGAAATTCCCGCTGGTAGTTTTTAGCTTTGTAACTTTGAAGTTGTTTTGAAAATATTTAGCAGGTTTTTTTCAGTTGGTTGCAAGAAAAAGGTAAATTTTGAGTAACTTTCTCTAAAGTTGTTTGTTTTCCTTTTTCGTTTTTAAACATCAGCAGCACGGCTGTAAATTGGTGTTTTGCTTATTGAGGGCTCAATTTATGAGGACTCGTGTAAGAAGCAGCGTCCTTGGGCAAAGGAAGGGTGGGAGTAGGTGATGCTGAAAATTCACACCTGGCTGTCCATCACCTCCTGGTTGCATTCCCCAGGGTGTGGGTGTGCCTGGATTTTAGAATCATGGAATGGTTTGGGTTGGAAGGGACCTTAAAGACCACCGAGTCCCACCCCCTGCCAAGGAACCCGTCCAACCTGGCCTTGGACACTTCCAGGGATCCAGGGGCAGCCACAGCTTCTCTGCCCAACCTGTGCCAGTACTTCATTGAGGTCCCTTGACTTTATGCATCCCACTAAGGTCTGGCCATAATTTTGGGAGAACAGGGAAGAAGGACAATATCCAATGGCATCACACTCAGTGCTGAGACTCTGATAGAGGAGGAGATGCACATGTTGGGTTTGTGTTTCTCTCCAAGCACCTCACTTGGCTATGCAAGTCTGGCAGTTCCATTTTCCATTTCCAGCTAAATTTTGAGGGGTTTGCCATCCTTGTACCCACCTTTCTTGTGCCAGTCCCATAGAAGTGAAGCAGTTTGTGTCCTGTATCTGTGACTCCCAGGAGGTTTTTTTGCTGGACTCTATAAAGCATTGCAAAACCTTCCCAGTCTCTCTTAGCAGTGTAGAAGGAATGATTAAAAAAACCATTCCCCTAAATCCCAGTACTTGGATTAAAACCAGGGAAGGATAGGCTGACTCTGCAGCTCATTTTTTGGAAGTATTAGGAAAAATTGCCAATGGCAGTGACGTGGCATTAGTGTGAATTCCCAGCAGGCTGAGTTTTGGGGTGGTTTAGGTTTTCCCAAAGGCTTTTTCAGGCTCTCAGCATTATGAAATACAAAGTGGCTGGATCAGCATGGGTTTTGGGGAATGGCTGCTCCGTGGGATTTTTTTAGTGACTTTTTCCCGGTATCCAGTCACCAGCTTTGTAACTCTTCCCATCCAGCTCCTTCTTCTCCTTAGTTTTTACCACAAATATAAATGGGGCAATTAAAAGGATCCGTGGAGAGCATTCCTGAGGACTGAAATCCAGGATCTGGGAGCAGACGGCAGCAGCATAAAGAGGAATTCTTCCCTCTCTGGCCTCATGCTGCTTTTCCACCACAAGGCTTTACAGCCATCTGGATCCCCTTTCAGATTATGCCCCCCCCTCCCAAAAATCCATAACCTAGCAACCTTATTTAGTGTAAACGAGAGCATTATGCCTTCCTGCTTCCAAATTTGTGCTTGGCTCCTCCGACTGCCTTTATGGGACGGCTGCTGTGATCCCATCGCCAGCACAGGGTGCCTGTCTCCAGCAGGATTTTGTAGGATTATTGAGTCCTGAGTGTTGCACTTATTATTTTTTTCCCCATTAAAGGAGCTTAGAAAACAGAGGGGGAAAAGGGTTTCAGGAAGTTGTGTTGTCCATCTGCTTCTCGATATGAAAGAGTGGAGAGGGCAAGTTACTCTTTGGCTCCACGGAAAGCAATTGGCTTTGGTTCAGCCTTGAAGACTTGATCAAAGTGGGATTTTTTTCTTCCAGATGTGATATTTTGGGAGTCCCTATTGCTTCCCCCAGCTCTGTGTCATCACCCAGGGATTTTCAAATTCCCTGGAGCGTTTTACACCAATTTCTCTGCTCTGACCCTTCAGCTGCGTAGGCTGAGTGTTTCTCATGGAGTTTCCAGCTTGCTTTCCCCAAGGATCCTCTTAATTGAGGAAAACTGCAAACCAGGAAAAGCAGCCACAAATGAAGGTGGAAGATTATTCCCACCAAATTAAGCAACAGGGACAAGGGAGCTGCAAGTTGTGGTGTGAGGCTGCCCACCCCTGTGGTGATGTCTGTGCTCTCATTGCTCTGCTTGGGCTAAAAGGCACCCAAATTTAATAATATGTGTGATATTAAATTTTTTTAGCGTGGGATCCCATTATCATCAGTCCTTACAGGGAACCAGGGGCTGCTGCCTTCTCCTTTCACCCCGTGAGCACAAGCAGGGCTGGGGGCAGGAGGAGGCAGCGGCACATCCTTTCCCACCACACTTTCGGGAGGAAGAGTGAGCTCAGCAGGTCGTGACGTTGGAGCTGCGTGCCGGGAAAAAGGGGAAAAAAGTAATTACAAATCCCCAGGGCCAAAGGGGGAAAATTCCTCCAGTGTTGTTTCATCTCCGAGCAGTGAGTTGAGCCGTCCTGGGGCAGCCTGTGTGCACCCTTCCGAGCGAGGAGCTGCTGGCTCTGCTTCACACCCTCCTGAGAAGTCACTTCCAGCTCCCATTTCTGATGGGAGCCTGAGCAGGGCTGCCCTCCAAACTCTGCTTCCCCCTCCTCCAGACAGGATTAAAAAGCGCCATTGATTTTTATTTTTTTTTTCTGTTTATTTTTGCCTGTTTTCCTGGAACTTGCAAAATCAGCCCTGAGCAAACCTCTGGTTTGCTTTTCTAACGGCTCTGGGAGAAAACTTTACTTTAAATTGGGTGATGGGAGCTGCAGCTGCCCCATGTCTGCACGTTCCTCTGCCAATGGCAGCAAAAACATTTTCCCATTTAAGGGTTCTCTTCAGTCTTAAGGTTCTGGCTTGCTGGAAATGTCAGTGGTACCAGTTGCGCCGCCGGGTGTTTCTTTCCTTAAAAAGACTTCCCTATTCTTTTCCAGTGGCTGATTGCTTTGGCACATTGTCACATCACTCTGTGTCCCCTGCCCGAAGGCAGTGGAGAGGGTTAAGGCTTTGTGTTTGGTGTCGGCCAGCCAGGGAATGCAGCCAGGATATTTCCTGATTCTCATTCAAAAAAAGCATCGGATCCGCTCTTGGGGAGAAGGGATCAAAGGTCTGAAGCGATTTGTGGTTGGAGGTCGGTTTGGTCTCTTGGTTGTCCAGGCACACAAAAACCCACCACCACCCCCCAGACCTGCACACGGCCAAAATGGGTGAAACAAACAGGTTTTTGTTCCATTTGACGCCCAAAAATTGTTTCTGTCACTGCTGGTGGTGCTGCATCGCCCCATCCGAGCTTTGCTGGATGTCTGCACGACTCTGCCTGTGATGTGAGGGACTTGTTGGGATGCTCCCCCTTCCCAGCAGATTAATCCCACTAATCAGTAACACTGCCAAGCCCTGTGCCATCGCTCACGCTCCTTCACTCACTGCCAGATGTTTGGAATGAAGGATGTGGGTCAGGTTGGATGCTCGGAGCTGGCCCTGGATGCAGCACCATCCCCACGGTAGCATCGTAGCTCTATAAAATCACAGCATGCCAAGAGTTTTTGCTTTCCCCCCACTCTTAATCCGGTTGTTCCCTGGTTTCAGACACCAAAGGCCATCGCTCCCACCTGGAGCACTGAGATTTCCCCTCGCTCCATCCCGGGAAAAGGCAGGGCGACAGCAGTGCTGGTTCGGGGCTGGCTCTGCAGCTGCCTGTGATTTTCCCATCGCTGCGGATCCTGGCGCTGGACCAGCTCCAGAGATGGAGCTGAAGGAAATTCCTTCCAGCTGCTTGAGGTCAGGGCTTCGCTTTGCTTTTGGGGTTCACGAGGGGGATTTTTTTGCCTGCGAGTTAAACGCAGGCGTCTCTGGCCGCTGCTTCTTAACACCTGGAAAAATCCTTTTCTTTTAAATATTATCCTGCTACTCGTAGCCATTAAATAACCTTCCTGTGGAATCATTCCATGGAAGAATACCCCGCTTTGCAGCACAACTTGGGGCTGTTTCAGAAAGGTCTTGTCAGCTGCTCCCAGTTTAACTTTCAACCGAGTTAATAAGGCTTTTGGTTAAACCTGTCTGAAACACGTTGCGAAACGCCTTTGAAACTTGAGACGCCGTTCACGCCCGCTTGAAATCTTTCCCATCGATAAAATGTTTCGACTTCGAGTTTGGCCATGGCTTAGCATTCGCTCTTCCCCGAGATTCGTGATTTCAGACCTGCCTGTGTCTGGCTCTGCTGCGTTTTTAAAGCTCAGTGTTTCCTGGAGATGAGTTGGCCTCGCCAGCCTGGCTGATGGGATGCTGCTCAGACCAACAGCTTCATCCAGTTTCCCCAGTTGATGGCTGAGATCCAGTCTGAGTTTGCTTTGAATCCCTGCAGAGAAAGTTGTTTTTCTTGAAAACATAACTTAAATCCTTCTAAAAATGGGGTTTTATTCACAACAGCAGAGGCAGAAGCCACCCCTCCACCCTGTGCATGGGCTGTATTTAGGTATGATGATGCACAGCACTTGCCTGGCCCCTTTGTGCACTGATGTTATAAATAAATAATAATAAAACTTTTGAAAAGAGGACAAGCAGCTCCTTTTAATAAGTAAAAACCCAAGAAGGAGCACACAGTTCAAATCCATGTGGCAAAGCAGCAGGAAAGCAAAAATCTGCGGCTTTCAGCCCGTGGGTGATGCTCATGGCATCACCTACAGCGGCGTGCCTGGTGTCACCCTCCCTGCTCAGGGATTCTGCCTCACTCCCCTCCTCCCTGCCTCAGTGTCTCTACCTGTGAGAAGATAATTGCCTCCCTCATTAATCCCTCTGCCATCTCTGAGGGACGCTCTGGGTGAGAGGTTGGCCCTGCGCATTAAGTGCTCACTCTGGCTCTAATGGGGATTAATTTGGCGACGTGGCTTCTGGTGGTTTGCCTTTAACAGCCCAAGGTGTAATCAAAGGGCTGGGACGCTGGCGAGCTCAGGCTGACCTGTAACACTCCCTTCCTGACTGCTCGATAGCCCATTAACCACAACCTGGCTTTTAATTAAAACCCGTTTTTGTCCTCGCTGGAGAAACTCGGACGTGCTTGGTCCCACGTGGCTGAGACACTGGAGGGTGGAAGGAAGGAGACGTGGAGCTCAGGTTGTTCTGCCTTGTGGCATTGCCCCCTCTGGCTCTCTGCATCCCAGCACACTTGTTCCTTGTTATGCTCTATATGCTACAGAATCACAGAATCGTGGAATGGTTTGTGTTGGAAGGGACTGTAAAGACCATGTTGTTCCAACCCCCTGCCACGGACAGGGACACCTTCCACTATCCCAGGTTGCTCCAAGCCCCATCCAACCTGGCCTCGAACACTTCCAGGGAAGGGACAGCCGCAGCTTCTCTGGGAAACCTCTGCCAGTCCCCCTTTCCTATGTGCAGCTTGTGCCCCCCGTTGTGGGGGATGCAGGGACCTCCTGGGAGCCGTGGGTGTCCCACAAGCATCATCTCCCCGCTCTGAGATTCCTTGGCCACGGAGAGAGCAACAGGGAGGCTTTTGTTCTGCACCAGAAACTTCTCATCCTTCTTTATGCCTCTTTTTTTATTTCTTTTGGCTGCTCTCTCGCAAATCTGAAGCAGATTAAAATGCAGTTCCTCCCCCCCACACTCGCCTTAAAAAAACCCAACCCCAAAGCTTGGCTGCTTGGAATCATCAGATTTCACTGGAGTCTTTTAAAGTTAACAGTTTCCTGGATCCTGGGCAGGATAACTGATTTTCCCCCTTTAACCTTTGTGTTTTTTGCTGTAACATTTCTCAGCTGTTGCAGCAGGAGGGAGGGAGGACCAGGGCAACTCCGATGTGGAAAAGGTTATTCCATGTGGGTGTTGGATGAATCTGGTGTGGGACTCGCTGGACTTGCACCGTGGGGGACTGAAGGGTTGTCCTGGGAGGCTGAGCCCCCACGGCATGGCCGGCAGGTAGGTCATGGCTGCATCGGTGATGTCCTTTTGAGACAAAATATTTGGGAAGTGGTTCCATTGGAAGGAGAGAGTAGGATGCTGGGAGTGGGTCGGAGCTCCGTTTCTGCCAACTGTTTGTTTGCCAAGGGCTGTGATGGTTTTGGGGACTGGTGCAATAGCGGCACAGCTCAGGTGCGCACAACCGTCAGGAATTTTTCAGGCTTCATGGGATTTGCTGCCCTAAATGCAGCCTGGATCCTCCTTACCCACTGCGTCTGCCATGGAATCTCCTGGTGGAATTGCTGAGCCAAAACCCTGGCTCTGATCAGGAGAGCATCAGAAGTTAAAGGAGTTGTAAAGGAGAGAAAAATGATGGTCCTGCGCCGGTTGGTTTTGTTGCCTCTTTTCCAAGAGTTGTCTCTCTTTCCTTGCAAAAGAACCATCCGGAACTTTCCCAGGTGGAGGACTTTTCTCCGGGGTGGTTGAGGGGCTGGAGGCGGCCGACCTTGGCCGACGCTGGTGATTATCAGCACGAGCCCCAGGGCGAGGTGGGGCAGCCAGAACCTCGTCCTGCAGCCGACACATCCTCGTGCTCTGAGCGTGACCGAGGGGAGTCCCTGAACCGTCCAAAGACTCCTTTGACCCAGGAAACAGAGCGAGGCTGAGAACCAAACCCAACCCCTCTCCGTGATGCCGAGCTGCGCATTAACTCCGCCGGAGCCGGGAACAAAGGTTTTGGGGGCTGGTTTGGGCTTTTTTTTTTTTAATTTATTTGCAAAGCAAACCAGCTCAGCGGAGCGGAACAAGCGTCGGTGGAGGAGCGGGAGCTGCCGGGTGGTTGCTGGGCTATAAAATCCCATCCCCACCGGCGCTGGCAGGGGTATGTGCCGGCTCCCCGAGCTCTTGCAGCGTTTCCACGTTGGCCGGGAGAGGTTCTGAACATGCGTGTTGGTCTCTGGAGGCTTTAATCAAATCCAGGCTCTACCAGAAGTCGCCTCGAAACTTCCAGCGAGCTGAGGAAACTGAAAGCAGCCGGAGCAAGGAGGCTCCTGGACGGGTGTTCGGTGCCTGTGGGAATGCTGCCTGTGGTGAGGGGATAGAGCCTGTGGGGCAGCCGGGATGAAAGGTGAGTCTGCTCCCGGAGATTATGGTGGGAAGACAGAGGAAAGCCCAAAGGGTTCGGCAAAAAAGAGACCTCAAGGGGAAAAAGAGATTCAGGAGTGAGGATGGTGCTTGAAGGGACACTCAGAGGACACTCTGATTTCGGAGCATCGCTCCCTGGCACGTTTGGGTTGAGATCCTGCATTTTCCCCATTGTCTTCTCACCCCGTGCAAAACGAGGAGCTGTGCAATTGCTGTGCCGTCAAAAACTCCCCGCTCCAGGGGAGGCTTTTGTTATCCCTCGGTGATTTTATTTGGCAAACAGCATTCAGACTGCAGGTACTTTCCTTGCTTGTTGCCAAACTTCATCGCGCGCCGCGTCCAGCCCTCTCCCGTGGGCAGAAGGGAAAACAAGGTGTATTTTGTAACTTCCTTTTCTGAGCTGGGGGCGGGGGAACTCTGTGCCTGGCCAGCGACGGTTGGGCTCATCCGAGGGCGAACGGCTCAGGGAACGATGGAAAGATAAGGAATAATAAATAAGTGCAATTAAAATCCTGGGGGGGGGAGACGGTACACCGCAGTCGTTATCCCAGGCAGCTGCTCGGGGTTTAACCGGGGCTCTCCGAGGGGAGGGAGGTTCTGGTCACGCGTCCCAGGCGTGGTACGTGACAGCCAAAATCGCCGCGCCTTCCTCTTGGCCGCCGGTGCCTCGGGGTTTTCCTGGGGGGTTGTGCTGGGGAGTTAAAGCTGAAACCTGCAAAAACGCTCTTAAACCACCAAACCCGGATCTCACACGGGAAAACAAACAAAGCCTCTTTTACAGACTCCATAGTCTCCCTGTGATTTCTCTCGGTGGTGCTGCTGTATGGCCTGGGAATGTCCGTGTCCTCTCCTTTCTGTTGGCGATGCACTGGATGCCAGACCCTCAATGGTTTTGGAGGGGGGATTCTAAGGGATGAGGAATCGATCTTGGAAACTGCTGGAGGGGAAAGGAAGGAAAAACTGCCTTGTTCCGAGGCTTTCTGACTGCTTTCTGTATTTTTACCCCGTTACTGAGGGGTTTGAGGGACACTAGGGTTGCTTGGATGCAATTCCCAGCCATCCATCTGATGCAGCGTTTAACTGGAAGGGTGACGTGTGTAAGGAAAATAGCTGGAGGAGAAGCTCACAGCGGGAGAGGGAAAATCCCAGCGCTGGCTGATCCAGCACTGCTTTGTTTTCAGGCTTACCAAGCTGGGGGCTCAGTTTTGGGCAAGGATGGCTTCACCTCGGAGGGGGACGAGTGAAAAGTCATCTCCTTCCCCCTCTGCCTCCCTTTGGAGGGACTGCTGGTCTCCAGAGTGCATCCTGAAGGAGCCTTACATCCATGTGTTTTCTCCCTGTCTCCACAGCCTACCCATGAGCTCGGACTTCCAGCATTACAGTTTCAGGATGCCGAACATCGGGTTCCAGAACCTTCCTCTCAACATATACATCGTGGTTTTCGGCACGGCCATCTTCGTCTTCATCCTCAGTTTGCTCTTCTGTTGCTACTTGATCAGGTAAGGGAAGGCTGTAAGAGGAGTGTTCCCCAAGAGCTTCCCTGGTTCTGAGCCTGCCACTGATCCCTCTCCATCCCAAGAAAAGGGCGGCATCATCTTATCTTCCCGTGAACCTGACGCCCCACGAGGCAGTCACATTATCCACTTAAAAAAACCAGGAGATACACGTGTGCTCAAGCAGGCATGGAATCAGAAAGCCTGGGAAGGGACGTTTTACGGTCCCTGCTTTCTGCTTAATGTTTCAACACGTTTGCCTCTGTAATGAGTAACTCGTGTCCCATGTGCTTAAGGAATGTTTAATACCTGCTCCGTTGGTTATTGGACACAAATTGCTCCTTCAACAGCGCAGTTTGGAGATTAATGATGCAGAGTTGATGTGTTAATCTGAGCGATGGGGAGCGGGACGGGAGGGCCAAAGGTTGTTCCAGTTTGGGGCTTATTTTAATTATTTTATGGGCCGTTGGGGAGATTGTTGGGCTGCTAATTGAGAGGAGAAAACTCTTCCTGCCGGAGGGAAAACAAAAGCCAAGTGGGGGAAAGTGCAGTGCCTGGGGATTGAGGTGGTCAAGGTGTGCTGAGAACCCGGGATGGGGGCTGGCTGCACCTCTCCCTGTGGCTGGGAGCAGAGGGCATCACTGCCAGCAGTGGCAGCCAAAGTCCTGTGTGCCCAGAGCTCTCCTCTCCAGCTTTTCCATCCCCTTTCCCTTCCCTCTGGCTTTTCAGCTGGCCCCAGCTCCCTGCTTGTCATACATTCATTGCATCCCCTCCCTCTGTCCCCATGAGACAGATTCCCAGTCTCTCCTTGCACCATGGAACCCTGCTCACAGCAGCCATTCCCACCAGGTTTTTTATCCAGAAGGTGCTAAAAATATTCTGTCCTGCTTTCGTAGACCTGGGAAGCGAGATTTCCATGTCACCTTCTAAATACTTGATAATTTCCACCCATTTTCAGCTCTGTACGAAGCAAAACCTCATAAAACATGCAGATGAGCCCAGAGTCAAGTTTACCCAGGGGTGATTTGGGCTGCATGGGCATCGTATCTTAATTTTTTTTCCATGATTACGCACAAGAAAAAGGTGTTTTAAGGTGCAGCACATCTGTCCATCCTGGTAGACAAGGTGGTTGTTCCCATTAACATCACGGTGCTCGATGTTAACAAGGTCTGTGCTGGGATTTGCATCCAGCGTTTGCATTTTAACTGGGACACCAGTGGGAGGGGATGCAAGATAAAAAAATAGACCAAAGGTGTTCAGAAGGTTCAGGTGGAGCTTGAATCCATACGGCTCACCTGGAAAATGAAGTGGTGTTTTGGGCTTCGAGAGTATTTTCCTGGGCACCAGGTCTCGCTGGGTGTGTTCTGCCCCAAAGAAGGAATAACAAGGAGTAATGTCTGGAAGGTCAAGCCAGAAAATCTTTAAATATAGAAGCTGGAGGCGTGTTGCAAGAGAGAGGGTGAGTAACCGGTGAAAGGAGCCAGCAAGGAAGTGGCAAGTCCTGTGTCTCTTCACGTCTTTAAATCAAGACCGAGGACCTTTCTGGACGAGACATTTTGGCTCCCGTTCCTGAGGTGCTATTTAGCAACTTATGATAGATGGGAGGCTGGATTAGATCATCCAATGATCCCTTTATAGCCTGAAACTCTGTAGAGACTCTACAAATGGCTCTTCAGACCTCCTCCCTCAGCTCTTCTATTGGCAAAACAGAACCAAAACAGGATCCTGCAGCCCCTGTTTTGGAGGGTTTTGCCGTGCCGTGGGTTTTAGCTGTGCCAGTGTCCCAGGAGCATCCGCCTCCACGGAAGCTGCTGTGTAATCACAGCTTGTGAGGGATATAAAATGAGCTTTGGTGGGGTTTGGGGAGCCTTGTAGGTGGAGAGCAGGATGAGGACCACCCCCACCTGCAAGGGCAGAGAGACCAACCCAGGCAGAGGGCCAGGATGGTCCCCTCAGGAGCTCCACTTGTATCCACAGGGGTTATTTGCAGGTAACAGCACCCCCATAGGTGCAGAGTCAACACAGCCCATCTCCTCTCTGTCCCTGCTTTCCTGTGACTCCACATCTGCAAATATTTGGCAAATACCAAGTGAGGCTCGTGACACCACCCATGGTCCTCATGGCCTGCTCTGGATCAGAGCATCCCGTGCAGCTCTCCTCTGCATCCATGGAAAAGCCAGTGTCTGGTGCATTCACCCCAAATCCAGAGCTGAGGCCTTAAATAAAGGATGTGTCAGGGGAGGAGAGAACACGGGCTGTGCTTCTCAGCTGTGTCAATACAGAACACGCTGCCAGCTCCAAAGGGAGGAAAAGTGGCATTTTTAATTAATTGGATTGGCTCAAAAAAAAGTCTTACAGGGATTTCAGCACAAAGCACAGCAAAGATCATCGTTACCTGTGCACACTCCAGGTGAATCTCGAGCTTTTCTGCTGCTGCAAACCACTCAGGCCAAAGCTGGGGTCCCTCATGGCTGCTGCCTCTGCTTGGAAAAATTACAGATAAAAAAGGGAAGAACAAGGAAATTAAATTTTGCAGGTGGCTGGTTGTGTCTGATCTCTGCTGAATTAATGAAAGTGATAAAATCGTGTTGCCTTCAGTCCCATAAAACCCAGTCCAGAAGGATGCTGAGCCGAGCTATGCCACGCTCACCCTGAGTGAAGGCTGCAGGATCCTCTCTCCATGCTTTCTGCAGGATCACATGGGGCTCATTCCAGCCCAGCCTAGGGCAGCTCAAAGTCTCCCGGAGGTGCAGGGAACGCAGCTCCTAAAAAGCCCATTTTTTGTGGGGCTGTTTCCTTCTGCATTCAGACCTGCCAGGATCCAACGCTGGTTTTGTGTCCAGAGAAGGGAATGGAGCTGGGGAAGGGTCTGGAGCAACAGGAGCAGCTGAGGGAGCTGGGAGGGCTCAGCCTGGAGAAAAGGAGGCTCAGGGGGGACCTTCTGGCTCTGCAACTCCCTGACAGGAGGGGGGAGCCGGGGGGGGGGAGTCGGGCTCTGCTCCCAGGGAACAAGGGACAGAAGGAGAGGAAATGGCCTCAAGCTGTGCCAGAGGAGGTTTAGGCTGGGTATTGGGAAAATTTCTTCATGGAAAGGGTTATCCATCCCTGGCACAGCTGCCCAGGGCAGTGTTGGAGTCCCCATCTCTGGAGGGATTTAAAAGCCGTGTGGATGTGGCACTTGGGGACATGGGTCAGTGGTGGCCTTGGCAGTGCTGGGGGAACGGTTGGACTGGATGGTCTTAGAGGGTTTTTCCAACCTTAGTGATTCCATGATTCTCTGATCTATCCCCATATCTTGTGTCTGCTGGTCAAGGGGACCTTCAGCCTCACCAGCCTGGCCAGGCCAATGCTGCAGGTGTTGTGGGTGGGAGATGTGGTGGGCAGAGGAAGAGGTGGGCTCCTGCTGACCATCCCCTTCTCTAGTCCCAGCTCCCATGGCATAGCACTGCCAGGTCCTGGACACCTTCATAATCCAAGCATCCTCCTCCAGCTCCTTCACCAGAAAAAATTCACTTCACTCTTCCCTTTTCCTCCTTCTTCATCCATCCTGACTTCTCGGTGCCCCCATTCCTTGCCTCCCCTTCCCCCTCCTTTCACTCGAGGTCTCTGGGGTGGCCTTGCCAGCCGATCTGAGAGGGAGCATGTCCAGCCATGCACACTTGCTGGTTAATGGTTGGACTCGATGACCTTACAGGGCTTTTCCAACCTTAACAATTCTACGATTCTATAAATGTCAGAGTGTGCCCATCCTGCCTCCGCCTCCACAGCGGGATGTGGGGAGCCTCCCTCGCTCCATCCCTGCTGTGGTGGTGTTGCTCAGCCGGTAGCACCTGTGTTGCTCCACGCTTGGGCTGCAGCTCTGCTTCCTCAGAACTCTCCTGCCCCCCTCCCATGGTGCCAGCAGCACTTTGGTTCTGCCCCTGGCCAGCCCGCTGTGGGGCGGGTGGAGCAGCGCAGATTCTTCCTCTTCCTCGTAGCAGCAGCGATTACCCGGGAGCTTTGACTCATGGTTGGCTTTGTGAGTCAAGGAACGACGCTGCTTTGGCAGGGCTTGCCCAAGGGTGTCCCACCTCCCTCCTCGGTCCTTTCACCCACCCAGGGTGATCCCGCTCTGGGCATCACATCCTGCTGAGCGAGCGGAGCAGGTACAGCTCCTGGGTGGCAACCAAAACCCTGTGGCTCTTCCTCTCTGGGATGTGCTTGGCTGCAGCACAGGATCCTGCCAGCCCAAATAGCAAAGGGGAATCCAGGCAGTCACTGCTCACATCCATGAAGTAAATTGCTTTGGAGCCTGTTTTCAGGTACTCGGAGGTAGCGCGGCACAACCTGCACCCGTGTGGGTCCATCCTCATCCTCCTGCTCCTGCCCCAGACCATGCCAAAAATGTAGCAGGGAAAAATGAACAGCCTGGATATCACTGGGCAATGCTGAAAGCTTCAGCTGGGGAAGACTGGAGCTACAGGCGGGAACTGATCCTGCTGGGAATGTCCAGCCCCTGGCAGTTAGGGGTGTTTGGCACAGCCTGGAGCTGGGATTAGCGCCATGAGGGTGGAGAGCTGATTGCCATGGGGATTTTCCTGAGGTCAGGAAAACTTTTCAAGTGGCTTCTGCTGGAGCAGGGACCGTTTGCTGGTGGATGCAGGTGGTTTCCTGAGATGTGAGGAAGCAGTTGGGAATTCCTGTCAGGCAGCCAGGCTCTCCCTCACCCCATTAACAACAACGGGCTCTGCCTGCAGTCTCCCACTCTGGGAAAAAGACCCTCATTGAGGAATGAGTGCCCTTATCCTGCCAGGAGTCAGTGCCAGCACACGGATGGACTGACAGGGAAGAGCAGAGGATGGGTGGCAAATGGAAAAGTGGGCTCAGGTGGATGCGGCCCCAGCGACAGGCAGATTGTAGAGGAAAGAGGGCAGGACTGCTCTCACTCTCTGATCTATGGACCACAGAGGAATGAGGGGGAAGAAGGACATAGGAGGGATATCTTTGGAAAGAAAAGAAGTAAAAAAATCTATTAATAGTAAATGAGGAAGCTTCCTAAAGGGAGGTCAAACCGGTTTGTCGGAGACACCGTGTGCTCCGGCTGCACGGTGGCTGGAACACGGGAATGTGATGTCCTGCTGCATCAGTGCTGCCAAACCCGTGTCCCTGTCGGGGATGGGGCACTAGAACTGTCACTACAGGGACCAAACCAGAGCCAAGAGCTGAAGGAGGGGAACCAAATTCCCCCTTATCCCTTAGGAGCGCACCAACACATCACCCCACCCACCGAAGACACAGGCAGGGAGTGAGACCAGCTGGGTCTCTGGGTTCTACAAAATCCACTGAAAATGGACAGTATGGACAAGGAGCATGCACGCACAGTGGGGTGAGAGCTCCCCCTGGCTCAGAGCCACAGACCATCTCTGCTGGTCTCCATCCACTGGCTGGGACCGAGGGGAGCTGCTCCGCAGGAATGCGAGGCGAGGGCCAAGCAGGGGAATGCTTTCCACATTATATCCTCTCAGTTTCCGGCAATTTGCTGCCTCGGGACTTCCTGAGCCAGAGGTTGTATCCGTATCTTTCTGT